CTTGTCTTGATGTACTATTATAAGAGTTGGGTTTGAGTCCTAACACATGCTCATTGGATTTGAGTTCCAGTGCACCATATTGATGATATAATGATGACTAAAGAGAAATAACGTATTTTTCATGAAAAAGCATGAAGTTTGTCCCACTTGATTTGCTCCATTCTTGAAGTGAATGTGTAAACGGTGCATAATAAGTCTAAATGAAGACAAGTGGTTGACCAATGAATGTGGGCGTGCCAAAGATCAAAATAATAATAGTCATCATTATGGTAATTGTGAAAAGGGGAACAATAAGGGTTCTCAAAATAATTCTTCAAAGGTGAAGGAATTGTGTATCAATATGGTTTGTAAATATGAGGCACGCTCTGACGATTATAGTCCATTTTTTTTTGAAAGAATGCGACTTGTGATAAGCATTGTAAATGCAGACTCATTGCTGAAGTGAATGTGAAATATATATGTGATACAAATTATGCACAAGAATATGTGTATGCATGGTTGAATAAATACTACAACTCACCTCTACGGGAGGTTTGAGAGAAAGAAAGATCATGAACACTACTATGTGGTTACACGAATATGTCATTTGTCGTGTATATGTGGTGCGCCGAAAATATTTTGACATGCCTTATAAAAAGTTATTAAAGGCAAAAGTAAAGCAAGAAATAAGTCTTGTCTATAATGCTTTTGATTGTGACAATGATAAGATAACTTTTTCTGTGGAGAAAAAATTCACCACTTGGATGGTGGTATAAAAGATCTTGTAGTACAAAATATTGAGAGCTCCGAAAGAGCGAATTTGTTACTACCCGAATAAATAAAATTATTCATGGCATTGGTGATAGTAAGTCTCAAAAAGGAACTTTTTGAGTTTCAAATATATTAGCCAAAGAGGTTGGCATATTGAGACTATAAATGAAAGGAAGATTGAATATCTTCATATTACTATAATCATACCGGGTAAATATGAAAGGTTACCCGATTTTTCTTCTATTTGTACTACAGATGTATAAGCATGGTGATGGAATCACATGCCATAGTAAATTAAATATTTACTGAAACAAATATTAGTTGGCACGACCGGTTGGCCATCCCGGTTCAATTATGATGTGAAAATTGATTGAGAATTCACATAGGCATATATTAAAGAAACAGAAGATTCTTCAAGAATTCTCTTGTGCTGTTTTTTTCTCTCATGATATACCAGTTAAGGTTGGGATTGAATCCCTTAATATCTGGAACGAATAAAAGGTGATATATATGTATGGGCCCAATCACCTGCCATGTGGACCGTTTACTATTATATGATTTTAATAGATGCATCTATTGTATGGTCACATGTGCGTTTGTTATCAACTTGCACTTTGGTTTTTGCAAGGTTGTTTGCTCAAATTATTAGAGCACAGTTCCAAAATATATTTATGATAATTTATCTTGATAATGCTGGTTTAAATCCAAGTTGGTTTAGCAGAAATTGTATGCCTCCAATTATAGCTAAACCATTGGTTATGAGAACAAAATTCGCAAATAGAAATTTGGTATGAGGTATATTATTTAATATACAACAGCACTTGTACGCATCTAGCCAACAAGTTATGATAAATTTTTCCCATCACAATTGGTTCAGGGTCAGGAACCAAATATTTTCATCTACAAATATGGATGTACTATATGATTTAATTGTGCCACCACAATGCACAAAGATTGATCCCCAAAGAAGGTTGGGGATATGTGTTGGTGATCCCAACATTAGGGGGAGAAAATGAGCAGCTGAAAAAAGTAATACATGGAATGAATTATCATGAGTATACTTAGATCCTCGTACAAGAAAATATGAACTTGAAGTTCAAGTGATAATTCATTTGTAAAATATTTTCAGGCACATTGTTGACCCAAAGCTAAATGTCATATTCCAACTGCTAATGCTCCAAATAGAATAACGTCCATGATGGATAGAGTTTATGGCACGCATGAAGCGTAATAGACAAATCGGCTCCAAAGATAAAACTCCTTGAAGAAGGAGGGAGCAAATGTTCAAGATGGTCATAATAAGGAGGCAAGTGCTTTATAAGAGCACCATGACATAACACTTTATAAGACCTCATGGGAGAGGCTCAGGTACTTGAAAATAATGAGATCTCGATAAGTTATGTCTTTATTGTGTGATGGTGGAACCGATGTAAAATGATCGTCGACGATGTTGTTAATATAATGTAGCGCTCAATATTATTAATATTGACGAGGATCTTGAGCTCAAATATGTCATGGAATTTGGACAGATAAATGATTGGCCAAATGAAAAATATGCAATGAAAATTGACTTCATCTGAAAAATATGAAGTTTGGACGAATAGTCCCAACAGCTGAGAGTATAAAGGCTATATGGAGATATTGAAATATGATTAGTATTATATTGCAAAAAGAATCCTTGATTTAGATTTGTTTATTCTAACAAATATTGTCAAGGTTTTGTTGTTTATGCAAATGCAGGCATTTATTGAAGTCCGTTCTTCAAACAATCTATTTGTATGTGAGGAATTGTCATATTATCATTTCACAAGATGTGTGACTTTTCTTTGAAGAGAAGATTCCAATAATAATGAAGAAGCTGATGTTTGCTTATCTCAATTGAAAGAAGAATATTGAAGGAGACTGAATAAATCATATATTTCATCAAAGTTCTTTGTCAGACACGATCTTCAACAGAATGATGAAATAGATGTTCAAGAAATTCGTTCAAGTGATAATTTGGCAGAATAATTCACCAAGGCATTGCCGATCTCAATATTAGTGAAGTTGTTAGACAAGCTTGGAATTCGTCGTGATATTTTCATCAGGGGGAAGCAAATATGTGTTGTACTCTTTTTTCCTTAGCTAAGGTTTTATCCCACTGGGTTTTCCTAGCAAGGTTTTTAACGAGGCAGCAAATAAAGCGTATTACAGATATGTGTGCTCTTTTTCCTTCACTAGGATTTTTTTCCATAGGGTTTTTTCCTAGTAAGGTTTTAACGAGGCACATTATCTTTGGACATCCAAAGGGGAGTGTTATGAAATACTTGATTATGGTGGATGTCCATAACTCCTAAGGGAGTAACACCCACTACTCTTCTCTATTAACCTCTCACTACTTCTTACCATTATGGATGTAACTCCCACACCTCCATGATCTTCCCCCATGTTCTCAATAGTTAATACCATGTTTATGGAGTCCCTTTGTATTACCTATATCATCCTATAAATAGAGGGTTTGGGCATCACATTGTACACACTTGAATACATGGAAGAAATAGATTCTCTCCTCTCTTTCTCTACATTGTTGTCTATCTTCTTGTTTTATATTATTACTTTGACCTAAGTTTTGTAACAAGTGTCCTTTTTACACCAATCTTAACACTTTTGTCTTATAAATTGCTTTAAGTATTCAAAAGTCCTATAAATTTAATTCTCCTAACTAACTAATACTCCCCGTTGGTGCAAATTCCTAGTTTCTCTCTGGAAACTTAAAACTTATTAGTAGCAATTTCTGAAGCATATTTCTGGTAGAAATGTTATCTACATTCTAGGAAGGGATTTCATTTGTCAGATGCCTATATATCGAACATTTATTTGGTTGCCTATCGAAAACTGATAGAGGCTAGAGTGGCCCTTGAGGTGTCTTTCACTAGTCGAAAGCATGCATTCCATGACCAACGGTTCTTAGAGTTAATAATCAGAAGCGAAGTTAGAATTTGAAGCTTATGAGTTTTGAATTGTTCCTGAATTAATAACTCGCTTTTAGTTACTGGATTCAGAATTAAAAATTTGGACATATTTAATAAATTTTCTAATATAAATATAAGGTCTTAGCAAAAACTATTAAATTCGTTTGAACCCATAATACTCTGCTCCTGTCAATGAGTCAAAAACTCAAAATCACTAGCATATAGACTAATGAGAAGAAAACAAATGATGTTTATCCATACTGTCCTCTTTTCCTTAATTTCTCTATTTTAAATTATGGATTTTATCATTTTATCGAGACAAGAATGTACAAATTGGATCACCAGAAACAAGATACAGAGTTGACTGAAGAAACGCACCTCAAGTCTAACTTATTAGGACGATAATCAGATAAAATAGGTAACCACGATTCTCTTCCAAAAGTCAAGCTGAAAGCCTCAAAATTTCAATTCAATTTACTGGCACCAACCAAACAATCTAGAACTCAGATTCAATCTTCTAGATCTTAGAAGCATCAATAATCTTCACTTATTAGTCTAACCCCGTTAGTCAAATTGAAACAAGCCATAATTAATTTTCAAGATTTATTTAAGTTATATGCATTGACATTACTACAAAAATTAGTTATACCAAGAAAAAAAGCAGCATCACAGTACACTAAGCTCCCGCTATACGCGGGGTTCGGGTAAAGGACGAACCACAATTAAATTTCTTATAAAGTAATTATAGGTAAATATTTATAATAAATATTAATTGATAACATGGTGATAGTGGGGGCAAGTACACAAATAGCCATTTTTAGGGCTGCTATTTAGCGATTAGCTAGTACTTATTTTGTCCTAAAAAGTTGAACTACAAATCTTAACTTAAGGACTTTGTGCCTGAAAAATTAAACTGAAATTCAAGACACACTGGCTAATTTCTAAATAGCAGCCCTCTAGAATTTCTACATGGTGTCATACTAGTTTTTTGAGATGCAAAATCGTTGAGTGTAACACATTTTTTTTTATAATTAATTTCTTCTAGTAATTTTTTAAATTGACAATATAGCTAGCTAATCACATGGCTAAAGAGTTCTTTTTTTTTTTTCTTTTCTTATAAAAATCTTGTAATTATTATCTTAAAGTATTAAATATATTTAAGAATTAACAATAAAATCTATTTTTGATAAAATAAAAAAACGGGGCCCCGAAATCTTTTGGGTCTAAAATCTTTGCTTTAGTTGCTTTGACCTTGACCCGGGTAAAAATGGTACTACTATCTAATATGCGATTCACAGGTTAAATTACAAGTGTAAAAATTCTTTAATTGTGTACACAACTTAAATCAAATTTAAGACTTACTTTCAAAAAAAGCAAAAACAGAGAGATATTCCATGTAAGAATTAGTCGAAATTTTAGGAATTAACAAAAACAGGATGAAAGAAAAATCAAAGCCACAATGCCCCAGCTTGTTTCAATACAGGAGTTAATTCACCACTAATATGAGCAGCCATAATCCGATCTAATCCTCCAAACAACTCTCCTCCGATAAACACCGCCGGCAACTGCAAACCACCATCTTTCCGATCAACGCCGCCGATATCCTCCAGCTCCACCACCACCTCATTCTCATATTTTTCTTCAATATCATAAATAACAGGGTTTACTCCAAGAAAATGAAGCAGACGTTGTATAACATGGCTCATACAACAGCCGCGCCGACCGAAAACTATAACGGCGTTCTCTTTAATCATGTTCTTGACATCCCCTTTTGATTCTTGATTTAATAAAGAGGAAGATTTGTTTAGAGTTCTGAAATCTGTTGGAAAATGCTGCCATGACTTGTATGGAAGTGCTTCTTGCATTGTAAATATTTTTAGTTTAGCTAACTCGATAAAGATAGAAGGTTGCAGCTATGATTATTTTTGTTTTTCTCAGGAATAAGCTAAGATTGTGATGAGGAAATATAGGAAATGATGAAATAGTAATATAGAGTTAGTATTTACGTGTATGTGAATATATAGGAAGGAGGGGGATAGGGTTGAAAGAGTCGGACGTCAACGGTAGTTACGCAATCTAACGCGTAATATAAGTGGGTAACCCATGAGCTTACATCATATAGTTGGAAAAATGACGTTATATAGCCTTTCTTAAAATAATAATTTTAAAAAAATATTATTTGTATATTTTTTGCACATATATGTATTCTTTATTTTATATACAAAATTTATACAATTTTTCGGCTACCAAATATAAATAGTTTCTGACTCGAGCTAAAAGTGAACAAAGCTCAATTTAAATTATATAGGTTCAATCGTTAAGATTCTTGGACTGAACTTATGGATTATATTTGAAATATTTGTTTTGACCTACTATTGGTTACGGTACAATTTTAGTAAATTTGCACATAAATTTATATTTTATATTGAAAATGTTGAGTTCAGATTAACACGATGCTATAGTATACATGCGCCTATATCCCCATTATGTTACCCCTTTCCTTTCTCCCTTTTTTTGTTCTATATTATTTTGGTATGGTTCGTAAGTTGTAATACATCATACTTTAGTGCGATCTTTCTATTTATCTATCGATATATATATATATATATATATATATATATATATATATATATATGTATGTATTCAGACTTTTGTCATGTATATTGTATTGGTCAGAAATCTGACCACCCCGACCGGGACGACCACGACCCTGTTTCAGTCGCCATATGAAAGAAGTCAACGGAACCATTCTGACTCCATCACCGCGACATTCTCCACAAGTGACGAGGGTACGCCCGTCACCCCGACCAGTAGGCTTCCACAAGTCTGACAAGACAAGTTATGTCTAAGGAAAAAGTAGTTTCCTTTCGACTATAAATATGAAGTGAAGGGAACCCAGAAGGGGGGGGGGGAGGGGGCGGAAATCGACTTCTTCTCCAAAAACTCCAAGAAGTCAAAGGATAGATAACAGAACTCCACCCGAAGAAAAACACAACGATTGTAACTCCCTTCCCCTCCAAGGAGGGGGCAGGGAAAGTTTCATCATGAATAAAACATTTTCGATGCTTCTTCCATTTTTGTATTTAATTGCCATTTCTTTATCTTTAGATCCGATATGAATTATGATTGACTATGATTTACCCCTTCATCTCTTTGATTGATTTACCCCGCCCGGGGAGAGATGCGATCGACTTCACGACTGATGGTGGGGCGGAGCCGGTGGATATCCCTCCCCTCATAGGGGAGGTAGGGATAGCGGATTTGAGGGAACGATGGGGCATTCCTAGCATTGTCGAGATGGTACCAGCGGGGAGAGACGACCAGGTTCAAATTGACCGTCCCGGATTTTGTATGTTCTATGCCTACCCCTTTCTTGTAGGGTACACGCTCCCGCTTCCTATGCTGGTGGTAGATTTCTGTCGCTATTATGAGGTATGCCCGGCCCAGCTTTCTCCTTATTTGTACAAGCTGTTCCTCATGTTTATCAAGTATGCGGAGCTCGCCGGTCGAGAGGTTACTCTGGGCCACGTCCTTAGCCTGTTCGCGCCCCAGTTGATTCGGGGCTCGATGATCCATGCGCGCCCTCGGGGGTCGAAAAGCCTAGTGGTAAAGATGGACGATAGGACCAATCGCCATTTTTATGAAAATTTTTTCTATATTCGGACTGAGCATCTAGCGGCGGACCCAACCAGATTTCCTGAAGTGTGGAATTTTGCCCGTAAGTTTATACTTCTGACTAGTAGAGTGCCCGATTTTTCTCTTTTCCTTTACCTTTTGTGTCGTATGTACTGACCTATTTTATGATTTCGCAGCTGAAAGATTGCCTCCGCCGCCTTTGGAGGGGATCCGCGAGTGGGTCGAAGCCGTCCTTCCCCACACAGCGGGGGTTAGAACTTGGTCGACCTTTCACGATAGGTTTGGCCGTAGGCCCCTGGCTGGTGAGTATTGTTATTTTATGTCTTTTCGCTCTTGCTTTACATCCCTTGAATTGTCGTTTGTTGTTGTCAGGGAAAGTGCGGAGGAGGGCTCCTCAGCTGGCCTTCCGACGGCCGGGCGCGTCTACTCGCCTTGCTGCAGTTTATGCCGCTCCTCCTTCATCGAGGGCGGCTTCGGTAGAGTCTGCGATTCTGGCCGCTCCGGCAAGGGCGGCCTCTCAGGAAGTTCCAACCAACGCCGTTCGTTCCGCTAATGGATCACCGTCGACTGGAGAAGAGGAAGGAACGTTGAAAAGAAGGAGGGTGGCGTTTGAAGCGGCGCCTCCGACTGTGATCAATTTAGATGAGTCTCCCCCAATGGGCACAGGGGATAATGTTGCTGTGGTGTCTTCTCCGAAAGCGGAGCGAGTTGCTGAAGCTGGCACCGGCGGCCGATGCCAGATAGGTTCGGCCGTCGCAGTGGACCCATCCGGGGCTCCCGTTGCTGACGGTGATCGACGTCCTTCCGGAGCGGAGAGTCGGGACCCTAGTGCTGCCGTCGTGATCTTTAGTGTACCTTCTCCTTCTGCGGCGGGTCGTACTCCCCTTTCGACGGCGGAGAAGGGAAAGAGTGCAGTGGTCGGCGAATATGAATCCGAATCTGACCTGGACCCTGATGATGTCAGGATGTTCGAGGAGGGCCTTACTCATTCGGTCGTTCACGCGGGCGGGCCGTCCCGTGATCTTGACATTCCTTCTGACGTGAATCTCCTGATGCAGGGGGATAACTTGGTGTCGTAGCTTAGCTTGCTGTGTTCAGAGGCTTAAAATGAGTCCTTGCGGAATTTCCCGGACGCCAAACTGAGGAGTAAAGTGGCTATCATGGGCCTGAAGGTACGTCGTATTTGATTCTTATTTTGATTTGATCCCCCTTTTCTCTTTTTTTATTTTCCACGAACGAACTTTGATTTGACTGCCTCTTGATTTTCCAGACGTACCTGGTGGAGGTGGAGAGCATTCGCAGGGCCAACATTCAATCGAGGATTTTCTTGCAGTTGTTGGAAAAATACCGTCGTTATCGCAATCGATGCCGCGAGTTGCACGAACGGTTGAGGTCAGATCCCCGTAACCAGGCTTTGGGTGAGGAATTGGAGAAGAGGGATCGGGAGTTGCTGCAGACAATCCGCAGCAAGAGTGAGCTTGAGGAACAACTTCGCCTCAAAGATGAGGAACTTGAAGTGGGTAGGGGAGTTGCAGCTGAGTGTGAATATCTACAGGACAAGTTGAGGTCAACACAGTTGGAGATGGAACAAAGCCGGATCAGGATCGAGGAGATGGGCGCTGAGTGGAGAGGGAAGTTGGCTGCGATGGAGAGCAAGGTTGCTGACCTAGAGCGTATTGAGAGAGCCTGGTCCGAAGCTTCGGCGAGAGCGGCGGCCCTAGAGGACACGATTCGCGTCCTTCAGACCCAGCAGGAGTCGGAAAGGGCGACAGTGACTCTGAGGGAGGCGAGGCTTGAGGAGCGAATCGGCACGGTCAATCACGAGGCCTCTGTTCTGGCGGATCGGGTCGCAGCTTTAGAGGCGAAGAATCAGCGGTTGAGGGCTCAAGCTGGGCCATCTCGTGCTGCCGTTCCACACCAAGCTCATGAGCTCTGGGTCTATGCTGAAGCTCAGCGGGATATTTTTAAGGACTTGTAGGAAGCAGGAACCGTGACCGAGGCTGCTTATGAGGAGGATCGAGCAAAGGCTCGCGAGGCTCGTGCTAACTATGGGTATGATGTTGCGACGCCTGAGGCCGATAGAGGTGCATATAGTGAGGGGGGTGACAACGGAGACGGCGGCGGCGCTGAGTGAAGAGTTGTATTTCCTTTATTTCGTTTCATTCGCCGATTGGCGTCAGCTTGCTTTTTTTTTTTTTGTTTTCTTGTTTGTATTTGCCGGTCGGTTTCGGCCGGATGTAGGTGGCGACAACCCGCACTTATGATTTTATGATTAATGAATTCTTTTTCGCCATTTGCCTTGTGTTTCAGCTTTCTTTCTGGCACTTCGTGATTTTGTTAAAGGGCGGAGGTTCGTCGGGCGAGTCCTGGTTTTGCTCCCCCCTTTTACGAAAGGCTTCTTGCCTTGTGGATCATTTCGAACTTTATTGAGATGATGACCCACCTCGAATTCGAGCGAGGGCGAACCTTTGAATATTTGACGGCGAAGGCCCTTGGCCTTAAGGGTGTTGCTTCGAACTTATCAAAATAACGACCCGTCTTGAGTTCGAGCGAGGTCAAACCTCTGAATATTTGATGGCGAAGGCCCTTAGCCTTAAGGGTGTTATTTCGAACTTGTCGAAATAACGACCCGTCTTGAGTTCGAACGAGGTTGAACCTCTGAATATTTGAAGGTGAAGGCCCTTAGCCTTAAGGGTGTTATTTCGAACTTGTCAAAATAATGACCCGTCTTGAGTTCGAACGAGGTCGAACCTCTGAATATTTGATGGAGAAGGACCTTAGCCTTAAGGGTGTTATTTCGAACTTGTCGAAATAACGGCCCGTCTTGAGTTCGAACGAGGTCGAACCTCTGAATATTTGATGGCGCAGGCCCTTAGCCTTAAGGGTGTTATTTCGAACTTGTCGAAATAACGACCCGTCTTGAGTTCGAACGAGGTCGAACCTCTGAATATTTGATGGCGAAGGCCCTTAGCCTTAAGGGTGTTATTTCGAACTTGTCGAAATAACACGACCCGTCTTGAGTTCGAACGAGGTCGAACCTCTGAATATTTGATGGCGAAGGCCCTTAGCCTTAAGGGTGTTATTTCGAACTTGTCGAAATAACGACCCGTCTTGAGTTCGAACGAGGTCGAACCTCTGAATATTTGATGGCGAAGGCCCTTAGCCTTAAGGGTGTTATTTCGAACTTGTCGAAATAACGACCCGTCTTGAGTTCGAACGAGGTCGAACCTCTGAATATTTGATGGCGAAGGCCCTTAGCCTTAAGGGTGTTATTTCGAACTTGTCGAAATAACGACCCGTCTTGAGTTCGAACGAGGTCGAACCTCTGAATATTTGATGGCGAAGGCTCTTAGCCTTAAGGGTGTTATTTCGAACTTGTCGAAATAACGACCCGTCTTGAGTTCGAACGAGGTCGAACCTCTGAATATTTGATGGCGAAGGCCCTTAGCCTTAAGGGTGTTATTTCGAACTTGTCGAAATAACGACCCGTCTTGAGTTCGAACGAGGTCGAACCTCTGAATATTTGATGGCGAAGGCCCTTAGCCTTAAGGGTGCTATTTCGAACTTGTCGAAATAACGACCCGTCTTGAGTTCGAACGAGGTCGAACCTCTGAATATTTGATGGCGAAGGCCCTTAGCCTTAAGGGTGTTATTTCGAACTTGTCAAAATAACGACCCGTCTTGAGTTCGAACGAGGTCGAACCTCTGAATATTTGATGGCGAAGGCCCTTAGCCTTAAGGGTGTTATTTCGAACTTGTCGAAATAACGACCCGTCTTGAGTTCGAACGAGGTCGGACCTCTGAATATTTGATGGCGAACCTTAAGGGTGTTATATTGAATTTGTCGAAATAACGACTCGTCTTGAGTTCGAACGAGGTCGAACCTTTGAATATTTGATGGCGAAGGCCCTAAGCCTTAAGGGGATTATTTCGAACTTGTCGAAATAACGACCCGTCTTGTCTTTTTTGGAAGGGTGAGCCGGGCGATAGGGAATGTTGGCGGAACACAGAATTTCCGCTTCCTAGCTTAGCCTGAAGGACCTTGTCGCCTTGATAGCATGAGCCACTGCGATACCCTCACATAGGTGCTGTTTGGATGCATGCCTTGGCTTCGTACGACAAGGCGTCACAGCTTGCACCTCATAGCTGGCAGCCACTGTTTTTGGAAGGAACACCACCAAACATAGGATAATATATAGAATGACCTGTTAACCACTGTTGGTCACCGATGGGTGTTGGGTGTTCCCTGGGGGAGTCCCTGTTTGGTAATCATTGCCCGCATCGACGGTTTCGACGCTGTGGGCGTTGGACGCCGATATTTCGGCCGGACCCTCACGATATGCATGTTACAACTTTTCGCATAACTGGCTGTTCATTTTGAAGACGCCATCGATCGAAGGGATTTTGGATGTACTGCGGTAGTTTTTGGTTCTTCTACCGGAGCACTCCTGCATCGGCGTCTGATTTAGCGGATTGCGGGGGATGAGGATAGGATGTTCTTTGTCCCTGCCCGTTGATTTTGATCGCAGCATCTTTAGCCTTGCTCGGGATGTTTTGGGGCTGGTAAGGTACGGATTTCTAGACCTTATTAGTCTGCTCGATCCTCCTCTTCCCCATGTGTTACCTTCAAATTCGACGTGAGTTGGATGCTCCTCTCACGTTTCTTTTGCTTCGATCCGAAGAAGGAACTAGGTGTTTTCACTAGGAAATCCCCACAGACGGTGCCAAATTGTTTGACTCAAAAGATGTTTAAATCCTTTTAAGCAAATCAATCACAGAATTGAAAGGGTAAATCATAGTCAATCATAATTCATATCGGATCTAAAGATAAAGAAATGGCAATTAAATACAAAAATGGAGGAAGCATCGAAGATGTTTTATTCATGTTGAAACTTTGCCCTGCCCCCTCCTTAGAGGGGAAGGGAGTTACAATCGTTGTATTTTTCTCTCTCCCTCCCTCTCCCTCTCTAGATGGAGCTTCCTTTTTCTTCGGGTGGAGTTCTGTTATCTATTCTCTGACTTCTTGGAGTTTTTGGAGGAGAAGTCGATTTTCCGTCCCGCTTTCTGGGTTCCCTTCGCTTCATATTTATAGTCGAAAGGAAACTGCTTTTCCCTTAGACATAACTTGTCTTGTCAGACTTGTGGAAGCCTACTGGTCGGGGTGAGGGGCGTACCCTCGTCGCTCGTGGAGAATGTCGCGGTGATGGAGCCAGAATGAATCCGTTGACTTCTTTCATATGGCGACTGAAACAGGGTCGTGGTCGCCCCGGTCGGGTGGTCAGATTTCTGACCAATACAAACCCGAACCTCTAATTCAGAGTACATGGATCCTATCCATCCCACCACAATTATTGGTTGTCAATATATAGTATGTTAGTTACTCTTAGGAAACAATAAAATCTTACAATCACAAAATTGCTTACCTAATGTTATAAGAATAAGATTCAAAATTCAAATAAGGAGAAAATATCCTTCTGTGAAACGAAAGAACAATTAATAAATTTTATCCTTTCTATTCCTTTGCAACTTAAAGCAGTTGGTAAAGCACAGCCTATTGAATTGCATTAAATGAATGTCATATCTTTTCTAGTATAAATAAAAAGCCAGCATGGTGCATCAAGTATTTTGCGTTCACGTAAAGTACAGAGAAGGATCGCACTCCAAAGAAGTGTAATTTTACGTTCACGCAGAGTCTAGAGAAGGGTCACCAAAAGAGTGTGATATAAGCAACCTACCTTAATAAAAGCATTAGTGACTGATTCCACATCTCGAACCCGTAATCTATTGATCATACGGAAATAACTTTACCGTTACTCTAACAATAGCTTCGCCAGTATAATAAATGAGAATTAAGAAGAAAGAGATAAGAGGGGCGAACAAAAAAAACATTAATGCATGGCTGATGTTATTAATGTCACAGGTACAGTTAAGAGCTGTTGTCTTGGTGTTATGTATCTGGCTTTAATATTTTCGACACCTCATTGCATTTGGTCCTACATCATAATAACTGGATCCCTCTATTTTTAGACGATGAATAATATAATTTCCTATTTAATTCTTTCTATCTTAATACTCTTAAGGGACCACTAAGAGATGCAGTGAAAAAAATTGGATCCTTCCACCCTTAGCGAGAAATCACAAGTTCGACCTCGAAAATGCAAAAGTTCGTAGTAGGGAGCGTATTCACATTTAATAGGCCCTACAGAAATTTGGATGATTACTTAAAAAAGGGAAAAGGGCCAAAATTGTCCTCAGTTTGATTTGCTACAAATATATCCTCCATCCACCTATAAATCAAAAACGCCCCAATCGTTATCTTTGTGGCTCACTTATGCCCCTACGACTAATAGTCAATACCAAATTAAATAAATTTACTTAAATTACACGTGGCAAATTTTTATTTGTCCAATTTTAAACCATGACCCCAATTAAATAAACACACCCTTAACCCATTTTTTTTACCCAACTCAAAAATCCGACCCGCCTTAAAAAATGGTCAAACTCTTGATTCTCAAATAAATTAACTTCTCCATCTTTCCAATTCTGCCACCATCATAGCTGTCACCATCTCCTTTCCTCCATAACAACCACACTGCCACCACATTTTAGTCTAGGGGCAGTTCTTGTCCTTTTTCATATTTTTATCATCTTCTTCATTTTACATTTTGTATTGGAGCCGTTATTTTTCGAAAATATTCGTCAAGAGACCTTAATTTTCACATTCAAATGTCACTTATAATGGTAAATCTTTTTTTCTTTCTCATCACATAAGATAATCAAAGAATCCATTATGAATTCATGGGTTTTAAATTTCGGAATAATCTAGTTTTTTCTTCATAATTTTTATAAATTTTACTGATGTGGGGCTATAATTCCATAGTTTCGTACATTATTTGCCTTGCATTTTACATGCTTTAATGATAAATTACACTTTATTTGCGCGTAATGGAGTCTATTTTATGTGTAGGTAAATTGGAGATGAAAGTAGGACAAAAGGGATACTTAAACGTTGAAAGTGTGTTCGAGAACAGTGAAAAGGAGAAAGCTGGCGACGCCAGGCTTAAAGCAGGCGTTAACCTGGCGAGGCCAGGCAAAGGCCAGGCTGAAGCAGGTGTTAACCTGGCGAGGCCAGGC